TTCATTGAATTGTTGTCCACGTACAAATGAATGAATGGCTGAATGAGTGAATAGATGATTGAATGCCGGCATAACTGTGCAAAATTGATGGAGTTCGCAAAATAGTTGCGTTGTCATTCCGCATGGTTTTGTTGTTGTACCGTTATTTCATGCAATGCTTGTTCGTTCACTTCGTTTTCTGACCTCATTTTTGTTGTTGTTTTAACTCATTCATTCATTCAGCCGACTCGGTAACTTTCAATTATTGTTTTCTGGAAAATTTTCAAATTCCCAAACAATTCGATTTGAGGTGAAACTTCGCTGCATTGTCGTATTGGAAACGTGCCTATGTAGGTCTGGAATCAAGGAACAGTTAGCAAATATTTTTGAAAACCAATTTGTGGCATTCTTTGGGATTTCAGAGCTTTTGTTCCAGTTTTGCTCAATTAAATTTGCTCGTTGTTCACTTTTTTGTTGGGCTTTTTTGAGTTCTGTTGAGTTAATAGCGAGTGATTTCAAAAAGGTATGTTAAAGGGGAAGGAATAAAAAATATATCACAATAAAATTATCAAAAATAAATAATATAAAATAGAGTAGACAGTGACCTGTTAACACTACTATTAGAGATCTTATGTCATTCTTTTTGAATTTTAATAGTCGACATGTGCGATCTATATTCCATTCTGCAACGTTTGCCTGATTGTTGAGCAAGTTGGGGATTGACTCCACCGACACTCAGCTATATTTGTAACATATTTGTCGATTAAATATCAACAATTAGACAGAAGCATATACATTTCCTCTGTTCCTGAGTCTAATTGTAGGGTGGTCCGGCTCTGGTTATTTCATTTGCTTCACAGTTACTACTGATATCACTAGGTCCTGGAAAGCATTGTAGATTTATCATGATATAGGATGTCAGATCTACTAAGAGTTCAAGGCATTCTTTAACAATCTTTGATGATACTCTAAGAGAATTTAGTGATTTTAAAGCCGCTTGGCTATCTAAATATATTTATATACCATATATCTTGCTGTGAGCACACTTTTTGTCCGAGCAAGAAGGCTTTCTTTAATTACTGTGATCTCCGCTTGGAAGATACTGCAGTGGCTACTAGACGAAAGGCGAATCTGGTATCTAATTTTGCTGAAAAGACAACACCTACCACTCGATTATCTAGTTCGGACCCATCCGTATAAATGCTTATCCGTGTGTCCCTGTTTACCTCCCCCTTTTTTAACTTTTCCATGGAACGGAAGGCTATATTGGGGACCGAATTTACGTTTGATTTTATAGGATTTCCCAAATTGGTATTGGGTAAAAACGGGAACTTATCTTAGAATGCCCTCTATTACTAACGATTAATAAGAGGGGCACTGTCGCTGGCAGTAAGTGTAAAATGTTGGCAGTAAATGTAAAAAGACATTTAGTGCTTGACTTGGTTTTGTTCTGCTCCCCTGATGCATATAACAGCTGCTCTTTGGATGCTTTTCATACGTTTTACTGTGTATTTCTTTTCCATTATTGATAACTATACTAATATGCCGTATGTCACAATCAGCATACAACTGCTGTGTATAGCCAATGAATTACCCAAGGCATTAGACATTCAAAACCATCACGTCCCGGCGATTTGAAGGCATTGAAACTGCCTACCGCCCAATATACATTGCTTTCTGACACTATATCTACAGGTGTGGAATCGACTAATATTCCATTGTCTTGTGTACACTCAGTCGTGTGGTTTTCTGAGCTGCTTGAGATTCTGGAGAGAATCCATTAGAAGGCCTAAGGACTCTTCACTGGATACCGTCCAGAGGCCTTAATCAGACTTCTTTAGGAAAATTAATAGCCTTTTCATCAATTAATCATTTAGGATGAATACTAGCAGCCATACAGGCAAATGAATCAATGTGACTTATTTACTTCTCTTTTTACACATTCCTATTTTTCAGTTTAATTGTTTTATTCAATAGCTTCAAAATATTTCATATTAACCAATTGTTTAATTAAGTAGTCCGGTCTCTGAAGCTATCCAACGTTATACACCGATTATGTTATTATTTTTCTAAGCCGAGACGATCCCACCATATTCTCGATATCATTACAAAAATATTTCCAAGAATTTATATTATCTTATTTTATCTATGATCATAGGATGTTGTAACTATTATCTAAATCCTCCTTATCTTGGAATAGTTTGGCTAGATTAAATTGCTTCCTGCAATCTTTCGGTAATTTTTTATGTTCCGGAGAGCATTATGGCGGCGTAATTCTTCTCTTACTACGTGTTATTGGACAAGCCACCTCTAATGTTTGTCGGCAAGATTCCGTACACCGTTTAATGTCTAGGTCCGCTTTATTCTTGGGTGAGGAATGAGGGCATCATGGGAATACGTTTTTTAGCTCTTGCATGTGCACTTGCCAGTTCATTTCCCTATGATTCCATATATTGTTGACCCTGCCAACACTTTCTTCAATTATAAATACATTCAATGTAGTGGCGATCCGAAAAGCAGCACTCTTCAAGAACTCGCCATTGGCTTATTTTATTTAACAGTTCTTCCGACATACGTGACTGTTATATCTAATACTTCTTGTCAGTTTCTTGTTATAAATGTCGGCATAATTCATATGTTACATAATAAAAGCTTAGTATATAGTAAATATTTAAAGAGCAACTCGCCTTTTTCGTTGATATCTGTGCTTCCCTACAGTTTGTGGTTTTTATTAGAGTCGCATCCAAGTACTTATAATCATGCACTTGGATGCCTCGCTGTCCCGTATCAACTCGTTTACCAGCTGCGATGGTACTTGTTCCTCACCGTACGACACATACTAATTTGACACCAGCCACAACACATTAACAAACTAGAAGTTAAAATAAAATAATTAAATTTTATAAAGTTATGTACAATAAAAAACTTGAAAACTAGCTTGAATTAAACATAACATATAATAATATACAATGCCAAAATAAATTAAATAAAAATGGTAAGATAGAATCAAAGAAATAAAAAATAAAATCATAAAAATTTAATTAAAAATGATTCGAAAATTGTATACATAAAGAAAATATTATGAAAAAAATTTAAATAAAATAAAATTAACTAAATTAAAATATCAAAGTAAGCATAAATGTACGAAAAATATACAATGAAGTCAACAAAAAAAAAATTAATTACAATAAAAAATAAAGCAAATTAAATTAATTTGCAATAAATCAAGATTAATTAAATAAAGTAAAATAACAAAAAAAATACATATGTATGTAAAATAATAATTTATGTATTTAAATTCAATAATTTTATTATTATATTTAAATTGAATAAATATTATTTATCCCAGATTTATATTTATTAAACTAAATAAAAAATAAACATTAATTCTAATTAATTTTAGTGAATTTAATTTAGATTGAGTGAAATACTTTTTTTGTAATACGATTATCTCCAAATAATTTACTTAACCACTCAATGGATCTCTTAAAGAGCTCTAATAAAAACTGCGCTCTGGCAACAAAAGATCATATGGTTCCATAGTGTAGCGGTTATCACGTCTGCTTTACACGCAGAAGGTCTCCAGTTCGATCCTGGATGGAACCAGTTGTTAAAGTTTTTTTTATAAAATTCAAAATTTAATCCTTTTGCTTAAAACGAAGAATGTTAACTTTTAAATATATGCAATTGATGCAATAAAACCCGGAACTATTCATTTTAATGAATAAAGCTGTTACAGAAATATATAACTTCTTAGAAAAAAAAAAAACATGTAAAAAAATAAATTTTAAAAAGGTTCAACTGGTTCCATCCAGGGTCGAACTGGAGACCTTCTGCGTGTAAAGCAGACGTGATAACCGCTACACTATGGAACCACATAAATTTGCATTAGCCAGAGGCATATGACAAGACTACATAGACTGCGTATGACTATGCCTTGGGGAATAAATAATAAGTAGACTAAGCTATTTCAAAACAACTGTGACAATACAGTGGTTGGGTAAGCTTCTACAAATATATAGAAAGAAAGTGTAACTTAAGTAGTAGTAATTGAATTTTTAAACATAAATAAATGCCAAATTATTCTTATTTCATATACTACTCATTACAGTTGTAACAATTTTTAATTTTTAAAATGTGAACATGTGCAGATATGCGCCATTTGCCCCTTGATCGAATGTGGGCAGCGTGGCCGAGCGGTCTAAGGCGCTGGTTTTAGGCACCAGTCCGAAAGGGCGTGGGTTCGAATCCCACCGCTGTCAAATAGATTTTTTTAATAGTTTTACTTTTTAAAGATTTAATGAAGTGTTAATAAATTACTAAAATTTAGTATTGTGTGTGTTAATGGAAAGATTGTGTGATTAAGGTTGCGAAAGCGGAGTAGAATGTAGAATTCGTCTATTACGTAAGGTACGGACTAATAACTGGTAATGAGAACAGCTGAAATTCTTGAAGGTCACACAGCTTTCATTGTTTGTACGAAACCATTAATAGTGTGGTATACATTATGCAAATTTATTCATATTATTTAATTATTAGTGTACTTTATATACTATATTATTTTATTTGTTAAGTTCTACTGATATGAGCGAAAAATTTAAATATTTTTAATGACAATCTAATGTCTTAGATACATTTTTGCCTATACAACTACACATATATTTTGTTTCTTCTGCGTTGCTATGTTCAAATGTGTTACAAAGACCACGTGGTACTTGGTGAGTAATGAGTTATTCATACCTAAAAATGTATGTAAGGTGAGCGCATGCCACCACCATACGCCCTGACTAACCATACACACACTTCTGCTAAAGACCCGTCGACTGTTACACATTCGTACGTACCTATAACTTAGCCAAACGTTCACACAACAGGCAACAAAAATTATAGACGATTCTTTGCTTATATCATTCATTTTCAATTGTTTATATTTTTCTTTCGTACTTGTTTGCCTTCTCCGAATTCTCAACTATTTTGTGTGACTTTTGGTAGAAATTCTCTACGTTGGCCATTCAGAATTTAAGACTATACTTCACAGGATCATTTCTGTAGTCAGTCTTCATTTACTTTCTTTGCAAACCGAAAGTATTGGGACCCGCGATGATGAGGTATATCGTTTTATCTGGCAGCGTGAGGTTTATGAATTTCATTTCGAATTTTGTCTTATGGCATATTTGAAATGATGTTTCTTCGATGATCGCTCGGTTACAACGGATAAAACGACTTCTGAGTGGTCATTTTAATGAATAAATTCCAAGGTTTTTTATACAAAGTTATTATAAAGATGGTATCGCTCAGTCTTGATATAATTAAAAAGTAGTGAGTTCAGAATTATTATTTTGTTGAATAAACGGTATTTTTTATATTATTCATGATTTGTTGGAAACTATCAAAGTTGAAAATTAGTGAAGTTAATTTATTTAGTATGTCTATTTTCGCAATTAAGAGTTAAGACTAGGATTACAGAATATTTCAAAATGCCAAAATTATATTTCATAAGAATTTTAAATACAATAAAGTTTCCAAATTCGTTACATGAAAAATTAGAAGAAATATTAAAATTTAAATATGGAACCGTAATAATTAAATCTAATTGTCATTATACTTAGAGGCTTTCGAGAAAAGTCGGTGGTCTTAAAATATGGAATAATTAGAATGAGCTTTAATTATGTTTTGAGCTTCAACGAATAAATTCAAAATTTGCAAAACGATTTGAGCCGACTAAAATACGGCTTTTCCCACATCCATATGCACTCGTATAATTTAATGTGTATATACAATATATATGAATATTTTCTTTTCAAAGTACAATAGTATATCCAATAGTTTATGATACTTTTTTCGATATCTGTCACAATTCGATTTCAAGTTTTTGACCAAGAATCATCGTACTGTTTCTTTTAAAGTACTGAGAGTTGTCGTAGTTAGATAGTTTAATACTATTTTTTGTTTACCCTGCGGATATATTGACATGGCGACTAGTTAACGTAATTATCGTTTGAGTTTACCTTTTGGTAATTCTATATACACTTGAAATTTTGAGAGCACGTAGCTCGCTTTACGGAATATTTATTATCTCGTTCAAAATGTATATGTGGTATGTCATAGAGAGGGGGATTGGTATTTACTACTTTTATATATAATGAGTTTGTAAACAATTGTCCTTGAGTATAAAAAAAAATTGAACTTGTTAAAAATTAAATTGAAAAAAAAACTTTTGGCAGCGGTGGGATTCGAACCCACGCCTCCGAAGAGACTGGTGCCTTAAACCAGCGCCTTAGACCGCTCGGCCACGCTACCTACATCAACATTTGTGTCAAATGCATTACTTCCGTGCAAGTCGTTCATTGCCAGTAATATATTTGAATAAAAAAAATAAAATAAATTGCATACAAATAATTTTATGGATTTAAATAACGTACTTGCTTATCTCTCTTCCCTAAATTATGTAATAAATAATATCTGCAGTAGAAATAAAGAGGATTCTACCACTCTAAAGCAAAATATTTTAATCCAGGTTTTATAATATATGTTAAAAAAAATTGTATTCAATTAATAATTACTAAATAGACTAATTTAAAATGTAATTAAATTGTTCAAATTCATGCATGTATAATTACTCGCACTGCATGAGTTCTCTCTAGAAGTAAATATAGCAGTCAGTAGCTATTGGATGCAAGTATTTAGAATTATACAATTTTAATTGTCTTTGAAACGTCTTCGTAGATATTTAAGGATCATGAGTCATGACGAATTTACCAAAAACAAAATTAATTTCTGACAGCGGTGGGATTCGAACCCACGCCCTTTCGGACTGGTGCCTAAAACCAGCGCCTTAGACCGCTCGGCCACGCTGCCCTATATATTGACTTTAACGAAAAAATTTAAAAAAAAGTTCATTAAAGAAAGCTATGTTAAGTTAAGCTCATCGTGAAACAATTAATTTATCGGCAATAAAAAGTATGAAAATTAGTAATATGATTTTTTAAATATATTGTACTTCGTAAGCTTTTAATGTTCACATATGGACAGATATGTATTTTCATATGGAGATCCCAATTGTCATCGGTATGCTTATCCAAGGATCTCTTGGGAGCCTACATTCTTGGGTATGTGAGCAAGTTAATCTTGGTCAATTACATTAATGTGGCTACCTCCGCTGGCTTTGGTATACTAATAGTCCAATTTACCAAGGCGTTGGTGAAATTTCTGGTACTCACATTTGACATTCTGAGTACACGTCTGTATTTTTCCCTGTCAAGCCAAAAAAAATATTTAAGGAGTGGAAGCGAAGCCTCGATGCAATTTGCTTCTCAACATTATTGATTTTGGAACACAAGTGATGAGAATAAAAATGGAAGAACTAGATACGTTATGCACAATATCCAAGAAATTTGTGACTATCTTGATTTTAAACGCTTTCGTGATGAGCACGTATATTTTTATACCCTGTACAGGGATTCTTAAGTTTGTCACGATGTTTGTAACACCCAAAAGGAAACGTCGGAGACCATCATTAAATATATATCTAAATGATCAGCATGACGAGCTGAGTCTATTTAAGAGTTACGAATCAAAAAAACAACTCGCACACATTCAATAGAGTAGCCCAGATATAAAGTGGTTATAACACTTTTAGGAGGGCCCCAAGAGAGTATTCTCTTACAATACGCTCTGGTTGAAAAAAAAACATATCGAAAACTTTTTTACAGAATATTTTGTATAGCGTTTATTGACCACTCCTCATTTAATCGCATTAATATCGTGTGATCCAAAGAAACAAAATTTTTTACCAATTATTATGGTAAACAAGTAAAGAGATTTTTTCTAGAAATGAGTAAGGTCACGGTATGTGTATCCTTAAAGATCAGTATTTTTTCTAAGCGTCAGTTGAGGACGATTCGACGATAAAATGGAGTTACAAATTGTTTCGAAATTATTAGAATACATCGGACCAAAATCTTGTCGATGCGGTGGTAGTAGCTGGTATTATTTGAGATTTCACTTACAAGTCGAAAATTTCAACTGTTGAAATATTATTTACTGCTATCATACTTTCCTGTATGAGCCTACCTGAACCCAATCCTATTAAATTTTATTTATGCCAATACGGAGGCAGAAACTTTACTTATCAGCAAAGTAACAAGTATAGGTAAAAGATGAGAAAAAAAACTGCGCTGCCAATTCCGGTTGCTACGCCACATTTCATCAGCCTCAAAATGCCTGCAAAACACATTAAAAACTTTTTAGTTGCAGCGCTGATGGAAAAAAGTTTATTGAAAGCGACGATGCGAGTAGTTTTCGTTTGGCAATTTGCTTGAGGAAAAATTTGTTTAGTTGGAAAAAAATATCACAACAAATCTTTTAAGTACATATGTGTATATAAATATTTATGTAAATGCTTTGCATGCACACAATAATGCTTTTCAAGTTTTGAACGGTGAGCAAATTTGCAAACCGTTAGCAGGCATATGAATTCCTTTCCTTCTACTAAAGAGACGGAGAGCTATGGAGAGAGTTTAGATGCCTTGAATACATGTATATCAAATATTCAAATATCGAATTCATTGCATATACGAAAATGTTTCTTCTGTTAATTTTAATTATTATATTTTTATTTATATATATATTACATAAAATTAAAAAAACTTAAAAAATTTATTTAAAATGCATAGACAAATTATAAAAAATTCTAGAACAAAAATATTTCACGAAGAGTTACCAAAAATAATTAAAGCACTTTACAAGATCAAAAATTAGAAAAAATGAACAGAAAAACTACAAAAAATAATTACCAAAAAAAATTATAAAAAATAATAGTAACAAAATATACTATTTGGCAGCGGTGGGATTCGAACCCACGCCCCCGAAGAGACTGGTGCCTTAAACCAGCGCCTTAGACCGCTCGGCCACGCTACCTTCAATAAAATTTATGCCAAAGTCCACACATCAAACTGATGTTGGCTTGCAATCAACTTGTTATGCATAATTTTCTTAACATATCATAGCGGTATGCTTTTGCATACTTCAAGGCGTGCATTGAAAGTTAGTGCTCTATTAATTAGTAGGGAACAAGGTGGTGTTGATAAAAGAAAAAGTTGACAAATAGAAAAAAGTAGAGACAATAATAAAAAATTGACAGAAGCTCAAACTAATAAGAGTAATAAAATACATTTAAATAAAATAATATATAATGAAATAAAATAACAAAAATATTTAAAAAAAATTAAAAATAATAAAATGGAATAAAAAAAAAATAAAATAAATAATATAAAATAAAATTTAACAACTACTTAAAAATTAAAAATTGAAACTCAAAAAAAAATAATTTTTTTTTAAAAGCATAAAATTATGTCATATAAATAAATAGCTGATGATTGAAAAGTGAATGAACGCTCAAAAAAAATATAGGTGGTGAACATGGCGCGACAATATTATTAGACAACTATCATATTTAACAAAAAGTCTGAAAAAGAAAAACTCTAGACAATTTTTGGAAAAGATCACAAAACAAGCTTTACTTGCCCTAATGACTAAATACTAACTACTTACTGCGTATTCTCTTCGAGCAACTCCGAAAAATAGTAACGATTTATATTGCGAATTCTTGCGAATAATTTTACTTCTTTTAGTTTGTTTAAGCCTATGCTGGAAAATATTTATACCAAAAACGCTTAGAAATTAGCATTTTGCGTTGAATTGAAAAGACTAATGCTGCTTCAACATGTAAAATAAAGAACGTGGTCATTATAATGTTTATTTGAATTTATAAAATTGTTGGCGTTCCGAAAAATCTCCGAATTATCCCGAAAAAATTTCAACGGTTAGCATGGAAATACGTTTAAATTATATTTACAATTTTCTCATATTTGAATTTGCAATACAAATGTCATAGCGCCGAAATTACTTCGAAAATCTCCAAATATATATTATATATTTTAAATTAAAAGTTTTAACGTATTAAACTCATAATAAATATTTAAAAAAAATCGCATCTATTCCGAAAATTTTTTCGACTATTTAATAAAGGCCACGCGCTCAACGAGCCACCAAACGTGATTTCTAATTAACTCACAACGAAAAAGAATACTTGTTCTAAGCTAAACTCTTATTAAAGATTTGAATAGCAAATTTATTTTTCTCGGCACATAATTTACTACAAACAAACAAAACATACATTCATATATGTATGTAGAAGACACAATAACATAAGATACGCAAACTAATATTTTATG